ATATATATATATATTTGTTTTTCCATGCTCACTTGGAGCCCAACACTGAAAAGTATTCTCCAGGGTATTTTCATCTCACTCCCAAATGCTATCCAAACTTCTCATTTCACTTTCCTCACCCAACCTGCCCTATTATTCACATTTGAAAAGTATAGGATATAAATATTATCCCATTGGTTCCAATTAAACCTAAAGGAAAGCATGTCCGTGATAAAACTTTTGCCTAAGGAGGATTAGAAAAGTGTATGTGTGGATGCATGTGCGTGTGCATGCATGAGTGCGTGTGTGTGTGTGTGCGTGGGTGCATACGTTTGAATATGGCATAGGGTCTTGTTTAAAACACAAAGAAATCTCATATACTATAGTTAGAATTTGCAATTCAAATTCAAAATGTTATGAATATCACATATGTTTCTAAGCAAACGTCTATGTTCTCCTTGCTTATGCTGTCTTATAATACTTACTTTAATGTTTCTCTTCTATACCATAAAGCACTTTAGTTTAAGAAATGATGTATAAGTTATTTTGGTATACTTAGCATACTACAGGATTTTGTATAAAAGACTAGCTCAACAAATATTATAAAATAATGAATAAATACAAATAAAAGAGAAGTTTAAGTTTCTACTTATCATGCAACAGATTCTGTTTTCAATAGCCCAGTAAAACTTTCGTTACAGAATTCAAAAACAAAGAATGTGTGTGATATGTAGGTAAGTAGCTTGCGTAAGGCTCTATGGAGTCGTGGAACTGGGATTCCTGCATAGGAAATCTGTGTTGAAGTGCTTATCCCCACTACTGTCAGCCCTTAAGTCTTTCTAAAGATAGTATTAACTAGGTGTGTGTGTGTGTGTGTGTGTGTGTGTATACATTTCTTCATTTTTACATATTTGATAAGGTCCACATTATATGCTAGATATGATTTTATAAGTTTTTTCATAAAAGCAATAAAAATCTACATATTTTGTGAGAGAAATGTGCAGTGTAAAAATGATGAATGTTGTCTCTGAGGTTAAATAAATAATAAGAGCTCAAATCTTCTAAAGATAAATTTTATTAGCCTTTCACCAGGCTTGTAAATAAATCCAAGCTATAAATACATGTTGGAAAAATGACACTGTAAAAATATTTATTGAAATTAATGTTCAGTATACATTGAAATAAAAATGAGTTATCTGTAACAGCATTTAATCAACCACTAGCAACACCCTGATATCTTTCAACAGCACATTAATGATCTGTAGTTTGAAGATGTCAGTTGAAGAACCTTTCTGAAAACTTTAAAATCATGAGTTCTACCTGCCTTCTTTAAGCTTACAAGCCAAACCACAGGCCCTGCATCACTACAGGGTCTTTTCCACTTATCCATACATTTGTGCTCAGCTAAATTAGACTTAACAGGAAAATAACTATGACTTGTTTAAAAATCCAGATCATTTTTTTCTTTCTTCTCACATCACTTTCTTCTTGTATCTATAAGCCTTTATTCTCAATCACAGAGACTGAAAAACGGAGGGTTGTGTATTTAGTGAAGAGGGATTGTCTAGCATGAATGAGGCCTTGTGTTTACTCTCCAGAACCATTAAAAATAATACTATGAACGTGCAACAATGGTGACAGCATGCACAAAAATCATGTTGATTCAATCAGACAAAATCCCAGAATAGCATGAAAGAAATGGGCATCAGGCCCCACCCCTTGCTGAGAGTAGTCTTCTATAAGGGAGTGAGTCTATACAGGCTGACTAGACTCCAGTGGATGAACTTGAACAGAGGGACAACTGAGTAAAAATGCTTGACCAGATGGTACATGGTCGTATGACAGAATACATGAAATCCTGTAGGAGGGAGGGGGTTTGAAGGGGGGAAAGATGGGAGAAGAGGGTCTAAATTTCATTAAGATCTATTATATTTAATGCATAAAAGTGCAATATAATATTTTTAAAATCATTTAAAAATATTTTTGAGTGCTAGTCTCTGGTGAAGTAGAGTGGTTTGCTTGACTTGTTTCAGTGTTGAATTGTGGAAGTTAATATTTTTAGGATCTAAAAAGCAAAAATTCAAAAAATTCAGATCATTAGGAAAAGTCCTGATTAACATGAAGACTCTGACCAGAGCTGAGGAAATAAAAAATATTACAGCAAGAAATACAGTTTCTTTGCAAATATATAAGATATTTATTTACTGTTATAAATAATTTCCCTCCATCATGAAACAAGTTTGTATTTCCAATTAATGGGAGAAATCACTGCTTTAATTCAGAACTGTTTTTGCAAAGAATATAGATGGGTTTACATTTCATTGTTCGAAGCAACTTTATTCCTTAAACATGTTTCTTCTTAACACTTTTATTATTATTATTTCATGTGTGTATGTGTCTTTCTCCATGGATGTGTGCATGTAAAATATGTGAGTGTGGGCATGGATATACCATAGCACATGTGCAGAGATCAGAAGACAGCTTTTGGGAGTTGATTCTCTCCTTCCACAACAGGATCCAGGGACTGAGCTCCTATCATCAAGCTTACTTGGCAAGCACTTCTACCATGGAGCCACCTCACAGGCCCTAGAATACCTTTTTCAAGTGAAGACTTTTGCTGTTATTCTTAAGTTATGTGTTTCTGATTTATCTAAGAAGAAAAGTATTATTTTTCAAATGTGCCCTTTTGAAAGAGATACAGTCATCATGGTTGCTATAAACAGATCTATGGATATAGTAGAATGCTATCTTACCACTGACCCTGGTTTTTTATTAGTGTGTGTGTGTGTGTGTGTGTGTGTGTGTGTGTGTGTGTATTTCATACAGAACATCCCAAACAATCTTATTCACCTTTATACCCAAATCCCAAATGGCACCCTCCGATAGCCTCACATCCCCCCCCCCGGAGCCCCATATAGTCTGTCATCCCTGTTACTGTCCACTGTGTTATTACTGTCCACTATGTTATCAGTGCCCCCAGCCATTCCCCAGTGCTTGAATATCTGCTGAATCTAGTCAGCCTATCTAGAGTTCCTTGTTTAAGGAAGCTCAGCTCTTCCTCATCTAGCAGCAATCAGTTGCCAACATTTCTTTAGGTAAGATTGGGGTCTGCTATTCATTTTCACATTTCTATGCTGGGTTACTGTCCAGGGGTCTTTTAGGCCACCCTGGCCAACAACTCAAAGGAAGGTGTCTCCTGTCTAAGATTGTTTCTTGTTATGTACCTTTAGCTATACACATAGACTCTTAAAGAATTATACTGATCACCTTAATCTTTGCTTATACTTTCCTTTTGGGTGTTTGAGACCATACAGTTGGCCTAGGTTAACCAATTGATTTTTACTCTTAAGGCTATTTGAGGATCTGTTCCTCAGGTTTCACATGGACTTGGGGGGAGCCCCTGGATCCTTTCTTTTACCAGTTCCATCTATGTGAAAAGGTCCTGCTCGACTGTGGCTGGCTTCACTGGGAAGCATGGAGGAAATGTTTCCTCTGTTTTGATCCTCCTCTTTGTAGACTGGACACTGGTTCAAGTCCATCTGGTGGGGTCTCCACGGCCTCCTTGATCAAGAGGACAGGTGACTCACCACAGTTACAGGACATTTTGAGAGATGCTCCATAGTCCCCTGGAACTTAGTCGACCTAGGAGGGCAAGGAGCAAAAACTATCCTTTAAGTCCCTATGACCAGATTAGTATAGGCCTCAATCGCTGTTAAACATCCAAGAAGGTTAGTTCCACCAGTTTGGTACTTTTAATTACCATGCGCTATGTAGATAAAGCTTGGGCAAATACCAAACACTCTCCAATAAACCTTGATTAGGGGTATATTATTTTCCTTGAGCTAGTTGTATGTATAATTTGTCAGTAGATTGTTGGACTATGTTTTATGAATGGAGGTCATATTTATGTTTCAATACATATTATACACGTCAGTGGATTTTAGTGTGGCATCTTCTTCCCAGGTCTGGCACAAGGGCAATGTCTGAAAGTGTTTATGATGATTATGATTGGTGGGAAGAATGTTGTTACAGACAATCTAGTGTGTAGCAATGAGGGAACAGTCTTAGGTATCTTACACTACACAGAACAGCCTCCCATAATAATTGTCCAAACCAAAGTGTTAGTAGTGCAAAGGCTGAAAATCCCTAATTCTCATATGAACTGTGATCACTTTGATACATTTGTCTAAATTTACTTCCAGTATGGAAAGCAGTTCAGTGGTGAGAGGGTCATATTATCCATCCTAATAAATAGAAATAGCTTCTCATACTGTTTCAGTGTCATTTTTTCTATTCATTTTAATATCTTTTCATTTATTTATTGACTCATTTATTCTTAGGAACTTTCTTCAGTTTTCTCCTGAGTTCTCACGTTTAACCTATTGATATGTAAGAGGCATTATAAAAGACATATATGACATATACTTTACATGAAGTATATCAAATATGTATACTTTATGAAATAACAATTTTCAACAAAGTTATCTTGGACTCAGAGAAGTAGCCTTGAACTTACATGTCTTTAGTGTTGGGTTAAAGAACTGACTAAAAAAATCAAAGCGTCACCATTTCAGGTCTTCTCACTGAGGTTTGGAGAGTTAGAACATTCCCTGAGAGCTCTGCTAAATTTAGAGGCTGAAGAGGTAGTGTTAGTTCTGGGATGGATCTTTCAGTTCAAACATATTAGGAACATGATATCATATTGCTTCTCGGATGGGAAACTTCTTAGAGGAGAAACACTTTAAAATAAAAGCATAATTTCTTCTAAAGGTTTGTGTGTGTGTGTGTGTGTGTGTGTGTGTGTGTGTGTGTCCGGGTGTCATATGCATGTATAAGAGAGAGACAGAGAGACAGAGAAACTGTGGACTGTATATGTTGCTCTGTGGAGAACATCATTTTTATAATCAGCTGCAGAGTCCTATATCATTCAGATTAAGAAATTGCTTTAGTGGAGATGCAGTGCATTTAAAATATTCCAACTGAAAAAGAACATGACATGGACTTACAACGGGAAATAGGGCAGTAATCCCAAGGAATGAGAGGATGCCCTGTATAGCACCAAGGTCCATGAGCATCATCATCAGGATTCCGGCAGTAATTCTTGTTCAGCTTGCTAGCGTCTGGCTCCCAGAAGATATGACTGCAAAAACAAGCTGAACATCAGAAAGTGCTTCTTTCAGCCAAGAGAAACAAAATCTGACAAGAAAACATAATCTTAGCACACCTCTTACATTATCTATTCAACACAAGTAGAAGCTTTGGCTGCTGTTCTCATAGTTTGGAAGCATACTTTCAACTTAGAAACCTAGGGGATATCATTAGCATATATAAAATGGTGAGAGATTTTGTGAGTTTGATTCTACTTAATACTTATCATGACAGGATAAAAATTTGTGCATAAAATTAGAGAAATATTATCTGAAGCAAGTAGATGGTAAAGATAAAAAATTATAAAATACATAGAATACAAGCTACTGTAGAATACTTTTTCGTCTTCAAGATGCCTAAGAATCATCACTAGCAGCACAATTATCACAATAAATAAGATAATTATTGATAAATGCCAATTAAACTCTAAATTTTCCTTACTGATAAAATGAAATTTTCTGAGTGGGAACCAAGTCACAAACTTTTCTAGTTTAAGCATGAAACTTCTTTTTAATTCTGTATGTTATTTTATAAGACTATGCCCATTTATATAACATCTGTATTTACATTTACCTCAGGAATATTAATGAAGTCAAATTCTACATAGTGATTTTGGATCAAGTTCTAAAAAACTCTAAGTTAATTTGTTTTCTCTTAATTACTACCACTTTTGAATGTAACTGACATTAGATTTCAAGTGAAACTGGAAAGAACTTGAACAAGGAAATGTGGACTGTCCTTCTAGACAGGTTATTTCCTGAATCAATAACAGCAACAAACACATAATGCCTTTCTACATTGCTGACTGTACTATAAAGAGATACATAGATTTAACCAAACTTACAAGAGAAGCTCTAGAAAAATGCCACATTTATACAAGTGAAGAAATTGGGAACCCAAGAGAACAGCTAATTATTTCAATATCATATGATTTGTGAACAGCAGAGGTGAAATCAGAACTTGTTTCCAGAGCCAGTCACCAAGCTCTGCCTTTTCTTTGCATAGTTTGTTCTTAAGCCAAAATGATACCATGCAACTTAATCATCCATTTACATCTTAGAAAATGTTTCTAAGTGACCGTTATTTAACTATCTCTCTAACGCCAGTGAAAGGTTATCAGCCAGATGTGTTGGTGTGCATTTGTAGTCTCAGCACTAGTAAAACTGAGTGAAAAACTATCATGAGTTAATGGCAATCTTGGACTCATAACGATACCTTGCACACAGACCCCCAAAAGACAAAACAACAAAGGAATTTACAATTGAGGATTCCTAAATAAATATGTCATGTATTTCCAGCGACATGTTATGAACATCTAATACCTGGTAACAGGAGGTATGTGAATGTGGGAAGAAGTGTCCCTGATAGGCCTCCTCTCCCAGTTTGAAGTCTGGTCCAAAGGCAGTATTGGGGTACTGGAAACAATTACCTCTCACAAGTCCATAAAATTGGATCCACCCCAACCACAATTGCCTGTTTCTAAAAATGTGCTTAAAAATGGGCGCGTAGAAATCAACATTTAATTTGAATCATGGCAACTCTTGTTTAATTTCTATAATAAATCCTTTGAAACTAAAGTATAAAATTTACACTTAGCTCAGCTATGGATCTCTGTGTGGTTATGATATGGGGCTTTACCAAAAGTTATTTCCTATTTTCAAACATTTAATTTTCCCATGAACTGTTCTTTGTACTCGCATTTCCCTTGTCCAACATGGACTTATTATATACACCCTAGTCTACATCCCTCCTTGGGAAGGTTTCAAGACCAGCTAAGCTACAGTTACCACTTCCTTGTACTCTCATAGCATAAACTCTGTTCTTCATGATTTTGCTGTATGGTGTCAACATGGTTTGTACTGCCTAATACAGTGTGAGGTCTAGGACAACAAAAGTCTGCTAACCTTTGAAGTACTAGAGATACTAGGCACACTGGGTGCTAACACATCAATATGTAGCTGGTCCCAATGGGAAGGTGTTGGAAGGACAAACACATCAGATTTGGAACATGTGGACTTGAAAAAAAAAAAAGATGCAAAAAAAAAATGTAAAAGGGCTCAACTCATTTTGTTGAATATATGTTGAAATGAAAAAACTTCAGATACCATGGTTTAAGAACATATATTAAAATTAACCTTGTCTTATTTAGTTTTATTTATTTAAAAGTAACTACTAAGAAATCTTAAAGTGCATGTATCACTTTTGTGAGGTACATTTTATTTACATTAGAAATCACAGCTTCAGGACTATAAAACATATGTATAAAATAAATTCATTTTAAAAATATCATCTACTGCTGAGTTTTGAAAGAATGAAGCCTTTGAAATTAAAGTGAAACCTGTAGTCAAGGAACTCGACCACTGTAAGCCCTTAATTTCTCATTTACTTATATATCTTCCATACCACAATATTACGGAAAATAACAATACTTAAAGGACTGTAATGAATTCTTTTCTTCTATTGTAGTGTCTATATTCTGGGATGTTTACTGGCACTCTGTTTTAGGTCACAACTGTGTATCATATATCATTCGCAGTTTTATGAAGACTATTACTACTCCTAGTGCTGGGTAGATGCTCCCTCTGAGAATATCACCAACATAAATATGTGTAATTTTTGGTAATATGAAAAGATTCTTAAATTTCAAGTGCCTGTCTATGATAAGTTCATACTTTTACATATTAAAACCACCAAAGAAGATCTACTTCTATAAATTTTAGTAGTCAAGTGGACATTTAAGGTAAATACACTTATTGATTTTCACAGTTATTAATTTTAATAACACCATCACCCTTGATCTGCCTCATTTGAAGCATGAAATAAGTCACTTAATTATACTTTCTTACTGAGTTATATAATGTTTTTGTTAATGTGGCTATACTCTCCTCGAAATGTGGGACCAAGCTACATGTCCAGATTTTCTTGATGTTCCCAATGGTACCTATAACAGTTCCGATCCTATAGTAAATGCTCAACAGATATGTGCTGGTTAAATTGCACATTTATAAATTGGCCATATGCAGAGACAATGGTATGAATTATATTATAAAGACAAAAGTCAAACTAATGTTTTATTGACTCCCTTTACAAGAGAATAGAAGCAAATAAGAGTCTGGGTCTTTGAATAATATACATAATTGATGCCATCAATACATTTTATGAATAAGAAGAAAGAAATTTACGGACCGGTGTAAGTCTTCCATGTTCTTGTCCCACATTGAGCATGTTAGTCCAGATCTTGTTTTGGATAAGTTGCCCATGTAATTTTTTCCATTGCCACGATAACAATCTAGGCATAAAATTCACGAAAAAGAAAACTCAACAAACACTGTACAGGGTAAAATCAAACCATTTTATAGGGACATGAAACTAACAATAAAATCAACATAATAAAAGAGGAAAATAACATCTGTATCAGCTAATGAGAAATACCTGGGACTAAAATATCTCTATTCTCAGCTCAATTTGAACTTTACAAATAATAATAAAATCCCTCCGTGCCATCAAGAAAATTTAGATAGGTAGCTTGTTGGGTACCAAGGAGATGAGGAGTTTTAAAATGATCTTTTTTATTTCCCAGATTTCATTTTTAATTTTCACTACTCAGAAAACTTTCAAGCATAAGATAATAAAACTCCACACCAGTCAATTACTTGTGTTTGGATATTGTTTTCATGATGTTGACATCCTGAGTCACTCAAGCCAGCTGTTGTATAAATGTGCTTCAGGTTCAATTGGTATGATTATTTTCTCAGGGATTAACCCAAGTTAAAAAATTTTAACAGGAATACTGCACAGGTGATATTTGTCCTTTTCAGAACACAACAGCTTGGAACACATGACGTCAATTCTGTGCATCTCTGTTGCTCCATCTGGACAGTTGGTTAAGTGATGGGAAGGAGAAACTTCTCTTTCTATTTACCAACAAAAAAACCTAAACAGGGTGGGGCTTTTGAAACTGAGTAATTATTTTGATGCCGAACACATTTTCATGAAGTGGGTGAAGCATCACAGTTTGATGGATTTTTCATGAATCCATTATTTCTGTGCTACTTGTAGAGTGCTTATTTTTCTAGTTCTAATATTTATTTATAGTTATCAGTTGACATTCCCTTGAACATAAAAATTTTTCTCTCCTTCTACTTCTTCCCCTTATGTATTATCTGTAGGAATAATAATATACATAAAGACCCCTGGATTCTGTTTGCATATATATTTTAATAATTTTTGTTATTATCATTTCTTTCGATGCCTAACTTTCTCAAATAGCCAATACAAACAACTTTAAATAGACTTGAGTTATATGTGTATATTAAGGAGCTTTTACAGTAATATGTTTCCCTTTTTTTTTTCAAACAAAGGCCCACTCAATACTAGCGAATTCATGCCTTGAACTGTAACTCTAGCCAAATATTCATGGTTGGAGAGGTCATAGACTCTAGAGGAGAACCTACTACAGCCATTTTCTAAACCAATATAATTTCTAGCTATATTCTAAACACTTATCCTTACACCCACAGATATTCTGGCTCTCATTACTCATAAAAGCAGCTTGTTTGTGTGTTTGTTTGCTTGCTTTCTTGAGACAGAATCTCATTATGTATCCGACTGGCCTAGGTCTCCCTATATGAAACAAATTGATCCTGAGCTCACAGAGATCCACCTTTCTATGCCTTCCAAGTGCCCAGCAAATAAGCTTCTTTTTGCAGAAAACAGAGGCTACTACAGAGATTCACAACTAGTCAAAATGCAGAGAATACATGGCTGAAAGGGGCCCAGCCCCAAATGACACATCTACAATGCAACCCTAAGGTTTGGGGAACATTGCAGAAGAGGAGACAGAAAAATTGTCAGATCTAGACTACCCAGACGCCTGCTTCGAGGTAGTGTCTTCTAGATGTGACAGGGAGGCTTCACCCATGAAATGTCAAGAGTATGGTTACCTAAACAATATCCTCACAGTGATAAAACCAACATGATTGGGGGAACTTTCAAAGATCCCACCTCTACATGGAGAGCTACAGGCAGTCAATGGCTGCTGAGTGAGGGAGAATGAGTTTTGTCCAAGGACAAGCTTCCTGATAGTTTATCCAATCCAAAGTGGTCAGCCCTAAACATATGTACATACAAGCAACACTAAATTGGCTCAGTTGGTTGTATACATACATACAGATGTAAATATATATATGAACAATGAATAATATTTAAAGGAGAAGAGGTCGTGAATTTGAAAGGAAGTGGAGGGTGGTGACATAGGAGTAGTTGGAAGGGGAGAGGAAGGAGTGGAAATAATGCTAATAAAGTACTCATGTATGACAGTCTCAAAAAATAAAAATATAAATTAGAAAAGAAAGATAAAACTCATTGGTGCATGAGTAATGAAATGATAAATTGATTCCTGTGTTTATGTTTCTGTCAGTACAACTTCACTGCAGCCTTAATTATGAACATGCAACACGTGCATTTTCCCTGCACCACACCCCTGCTCAGATGTGACACTGTTGCACACTATGAAAGGCAGTGTTTTTACTGTATATACAATGTTTCCTGTTCTTATTAGGGATAATAGTTTAATTACAGAAAAGAAATATTTAATATTTCCTGGTCATCAGTACTCAGCTCTAAGTAATAAATGAGCATCTTTAGATTTTATTGTGGTTAAATGTTTATTTTTTTAATTGATGTATGAGTTGCTAACTTGCAAATAATAAAAGTTATGAAATGAATTTTGGCTTCAGATTAGGTTAGCATTTCCAGCAGTTTCTGAAACGTCCTTAAATATACTTCTGGAATTTTGTACTAAATATTTATGTGAAGTAGGATTCTCAGTGTGATGGCTAATCCTGGGTGTCAACTTGACTGGATCTGGGATTAACTGAAATGAGAAAGATCTTCTTGACTGGATCATCTGAAGATGGAAGACACACCCTAAATGTGGGTGTTACTTTCTGAAGGCAGCCTCTATAAAAGTCCATGGCGGAAGCGAGTGCTTGCTTTTTGCCATTTGCCTTCTCTCTCACTGGTGAATTTGTTCATCTTGCTGATCTTTTGAAACTCATCAGATCTTCAGCACCAGATTGGGACTACTGAGTCATCCAGCCTCTTAAATTGTACAATGTGGTACAGCCATTGTTGGACAACTCAGATTCTATCCTGTGAATTAATCAGACAAATCCATATATATATAATATATATATATTTACATATTATATATATATATATATATATATACATATATTCATTCTATCAGTTCTCTTTCTTTAGAGAACCCTGACTAATACAGATTGTGGTACCAGGAGTGGTTCTAGAGAAAGAGAACTGTAAGAATGAATTTCTTAAATGGGCTTGTTGGTATCTACAGCAGGTGCTCCAATATGGAGTCTTCACGTAGCATGGAGAGCACTGAAAATCCATGGTGTAGACTATTTGAAACAATTAGAAAGATAAACGCATTTGAGTCTTCTAATTTACCTCTTGTGAAGAGCAAGAAATTTGGTGCCTCCATATATAAAACATTTGATAACTTGTGGAAAAATAAGAAAAATAATGATGGTGGCTGTTTACTTCTAGCATCTCTGGATAAAGTGATGGAGATAAACAAAGAGCTTAATGATAAAAATTAACCAGCTCCAGATTCGAATCAACAGTTAAAAAGTTTCAAAGTGTGCCCTGGTAGAGAATCTTCTCTCCAGCAGCCAGAGAGATAAAGCTGCAGAAAATCAATCTAGAACCCTTATTTTATGTTTGGCTGACTTACAATGCAAATTTAATTCCCAGCCTCGAAGAGTGTCAGCAGTAAAGGTGAGGGCACTGGCGGGGAAGATTGGAATCCTGACACATGCGATGGAGATGTGTGGGAGAACCCTGATGAGGCTGAGGATTTTGAATCCTCAGACTCTGAGGAATTACTTCACCTGATTAATTAATCTCCCCACCCTCATCAGAGAATGTATTCCCACAGCCTGCAGACCCACCTTCCTCACCCTTGCCTGACTAATATGCTCAGAATTGACAATTATAAAATGAAAATCCGGATCAATTTCAACAAACCCTGAAGCTACTCTGTATTCTACAATATGGACTATTCAGCAAAGATTTTTTTTAATAAAAAAATACACTAATATGTCAATTTTCTTTCATCTTTTAATAAGTAGCAACATCATGTGTATACCAAAGAATTATTTTTAAATACATTTCTTTATGATTTATTAGCAGTAAATATTTTATATTGTTATATATCCAGTTTTGAAAAATAAACAGATAAATAAAATTTCTCATGTGAAAAGTGGTTATACATGGAAATGTTTAAGAAGGCTGCTCTTGGGGCTGGAAAGATAGCTCAGTGATGAAGAGCAAAGGCTACTCTTGCAAAGGATCCAAGTTCAGTTCCCAGCACTGACATGGTAGCTAACAACTATCTGTAACTCCAGTTCCAGGGGAACTAGATTGAGAATCAATCTAGTTTTCTTTCTCCACTCTAGTAAAGTAGTGAAATTTTCATAGAACTTTAACCATATTGTCTATATTTTTAAAAGTTTTTATACAAAGTGGAGCGAAATGTGTTTCCTAATTTTTCTTTTCTGATGATACTTCTCCTTGGCAAATGTTATTTTGAATATTTTGCTTTTTCTCCTTATTGTCAGATAGCTAGTAGTTCTCAATTTTGCTGGTTTTTAAACTTTTGATTTAGTCGTTATTTCTATTCTTTCTTGAGACGTATTTTTTTCTGATTTTGTATTGATAATTATTTTCTTTTTTTTCTTTAAGTTTGCTTTTGTCTCAAATGTTTTAGTAGTAAATTTTATGTTTTCATTAGTTTCTTATGCTGATGTAAATATTTAAAACTATGACTGTCGTCTATTTCCTGACTTTAGTGTGTCTTCAGAATACGTAGTGCTTTATCATCATTTTTAAGAATCCTATAGTTTTAGTTCTCATTTTTGCTAATACTATTTCAATACCCAATTGGAAAGACATTTCCAACTCATCAATCTACATGTAAAATTTATACTTGTTTTATATACAAAACAATAAGAACAATACCATTTTATATAAACACATGTATGCATAGATTTCTTAATATAAATGTATATAAGGAGATTTATAATAGATGATTGATTACTACATATTTATAGTATATACTTCTATAATAGAGGACAGATAGATAAGTAGATAACTGATAGAAAAGATAGATGATTGAAAGATAGATAGATAGATAGATAGATAAATGATAGAAGATAGATGATGATAGATGATAGATAGATAGATAATGATAGATAGATATAGCATTTTGGAAGAGTATAGAATTGCATAAGGACCAGTAAATTTCTTAGATGAATGTTGAATCAGCTAGAGTGTTCTCTGCAGAGTCTAGCTTACTCTTGCTTGAATCAGGTAGAATATATTGTTAAATAATGATAATATAATACATTAATAAAAACAAAGAAAATGAAAATATCATTATAAGGACACTCTAATTCAATCTCAACTGCACTAATTTGATAACTTGAGCAAATAATTCATTAAAACTAAACTTTACATCTTTGAATATATGTATTAGATAAGCTTAACCTCCAAATATAAGATTTGCATATGCTATTCCCTGATCCTCTTGTACATGGCACATGTATGTATAGAAATATCTTAATACATGCTGGAAGCTTACAAAACAGTTGTTCTCATCTCCTAACAATCACAATTTCTGCCCTTGTTCCAGTGGATGAGACAGAGATGCAAAAGACTAGCTGCCTCCAAATATCCCTTAATTACTGGTTTCAACTTTATTTCCAACTGACCTTTAAGTCTGCTAAAGAATAGTGAAATTGACTGAAAAGAACTCTTCCATTCTTCCTCCTACAACTCTGTTTTCAGAGTTGCTCACGAATAGTGTCACTGGAGAAAATTTCAAAGGATTGAAGTGTACACAGAGCCATAAGCTAATGAAATGGAGTTTTCAGTTATCTTGGGCTTTTTATGACTATCGCCATAATTTTTAAGTTTATGTGAGATAGAATATGATTGTTAAAGGTACAATTCTCAGTTTATTGCACACCAACATATGTCCAGAGCACAACATCATAATTCATCATTAACTATTTTTATATAAGGGAACTTCAAACTGAAATGTCTACTGCTCCCTGAAACATCTCTCTTCAAGGTTCTGTTTTCACACACAATGACAATGTACCCCAAACTCCACCTCACGTGTCATATTCATTACTAACACCCAGGTCCAAGTCGCCTTCTTCTCTTGCATGAATTGCTGAAACAACTGCTTCCTTGGTCCTCTTATTTGTAATCCTTACTGGGAATTCTATTTCCATAAGGTAACCAGTGTGGTCCAGCTGAAACTCAAATCGCATAACTTCTCAGAGTCTTCCAACTGAGCCCTTCTTCAGAGTAAAAGCACCAATCCTTATAGCTCCTATAAAGCCAATGGAATTTTGACCCTATTGTCTTTATAACTTCATCTTTTGTTCCAGCGTCTTGCTCATTCCATGACAGACAGAATGACATAATTTTTTGTTTTAACTTTTCAATCTCTCCTTTCATACTAGTTGTGTTTTCAGTTTCCTAGAAGGCTATATACATCCATAATCACAGGTTACATAGGGCTCCCTCTTCTCCGATTCTCCTTAAATACTCCCTTACTTAACATTTCTCTCTTCTTATCTACCCTTGGCTTTCCCTGTAGTTCATAGCCACAGACTTGCACAATAGCCTCACCATATTTTTATTTTACATGCTGTCTACCTGCTTTAAAGTAGTTCTCTAGAGTCAGCTATCTAGTTTGTTTACTGGTATATCTCCAACACCTAGAACTACACCTGCCCTCAAGTTATGGGTAGATAATAAATATTGACTGAATTAATTAATGCATATATAAAAATCTTCCCTTGGGACTTGCTGATCTTCCTTGCTAAGCTCCAATGACAGTGCAGCAAGTAAAATGTGTCCTCCCTCTAGGCATTTCCCCTGGATTTAATCATGTTCGTACAACAAAATGTCAGCTATTACCTTGTCCACTTGACACATCACACTTGGGAATTTGGGAGCAGTAGCCAACTCGGATGTTTGGATCAGTGGTAAAACACCAGGGTGATTCAACCCCATCTGGATTGCGGCAATAATTTTCTCTTAAGTCCCTATTAAGAGTAAGCATGTTAACATAAATCGCCTGGGTTCTTGCATTGATGAAATTAGCACAACTACATTTCTACAATTCCAGACGTATGCATGGTTTGGATTAGAATAGTGATAATACCTTGGAACCCAGTATACACAACACATACTGTCCAAGATAGTAAAATAAATACTGTCCTCTGAACCTCAAAATTCCTCGGGCACATTACTGGTTGAGGGACAAGAGAAGCAGTTCCACTGAATTCTCCTTATTGAGTCTCAAAATTTGACTCCAAATTGATAACATGTTTAAAAAGCTTGTTACTTATTACAACTTCATGGAGCACCTATACAATGAAAAACAACACTTATTACTCTTTGCAAAGAAACTTACTAATAGACACTGCTGTCAGGTAAAATAAGAGTTGAAACTATTCAAACATTCAACAAAAACAAAATAGCTATTTTTTTCCTTGATTCCTCTATTTCTTTGATACATGTAGTTTGATGCATACAGTTTTTTAATCAAAAGGTATTTCTTCTTGGTTTAGAGAAGTTGCCTAAAATCTTTAAATACTTATCTACAGAATTAAGACCTAATTATAATTAAATACAGAGCAGTTGCTACTGTAAGTCAAGTATGGCCCTCATCAATGTTTTCATTAGAAATGTACAGTTACTTATTCTAAAATGTCAAAATTATTTATATTAATATTATTTATATTTAAAGGCATTTTTTTTGGTCTTTGGAGACAGGGTCTCCCTGTAGCTCCAGTTGTCTGGAACTCATTTTGCTGGTGTTTATTTATTTATTTATTTATTTATTCATAAATTTATTGTGGTGCTAGAGCTCAAACACAGGGCCTTTACATGTGCTTTAAAGCGCTCCTTCACTGACCTGCATCCCCAGCCCTGTGTGTATTGCTTATTGTTCACATTATATAAGATGTGGTAATTATTGTTTGTTTTCAGGAAATATGTTCATCTTAAGTAAGCACATGCAATCTATTGGAAGCAATACTTTTTATATTGCATCAGTCTAATTAGAAGGGTTTTTTTGATATTATTAATGTTCAGATGGACCATAAGAGACAGAAAAAGTTGTAAGGAGGGAGTTTGTACTTGGTTAGAAAATCAACAAAGTAGGTCTTAAAACACACTATTTTTTTTTTTTTTTGGTCTTTTTTTGAGACAGGGTCTCCCAGTAGCCCCAGCTGGCCTGGAACTCACTACGTAGACCAGGCTAGCCTTGAACTCATGGAGCTCTGCCTTCCTCTGCCTCCCGAGTGCTGGGCTTAAAGGCGTGTGCCACCACACCTGGCTAAAACACACTATTTTAAAATATGTATATTTATTTTTATTTTATGTGTATGAGTGTTTTCCTGCATGTATGAAAGTGCACCAGATGCATGCAATGCCTGTGGAGACCTAAAGAATGTATTGGATCCCATAGAACTGAAGTATTGGACAGTTGTTAGCTGCCATGTTGGTGCTTGGAACTGAATCAAGGTACTCTGTCAGAGCAGCTGAACCATCTTTCAAACTTTAGTGACACGAACTCTTAATAAGGAATCCAAGACAGTGATTACCAACAGTTAGTCATAATACAGGAATTATTCTTTGAACAACCCATGTCCAAATACCCAGTGGTCTTATAAAAGTAGTCACTTAAGAAAAAAATGAACATGAGTTCTATTTCCTTTAGGAAAAGATAAAATTATGTTTCAAAAGTTTATGCGAAACATTAAGTGTATGAATAAATTTTTCACAGAATTCATATATTTCACAGAATATTAATATTAGGTAGATAATTGTTCAGCTACATTATTTTGCATGTTTAATTTAAGGCAAGAAAACTAAATGAATTTAAGACTGCCAAATTCTTGGTTGGGCCCAGTTTTAGAATAAATCCCTAAAAGTGACCCATAACCCTGAATTAAATAAAAATGAAAGAAGGGATTTGCCTAATTGTCTCTACCTTTTGATGTATTTAGTTGAATTATTTACAGTTTCTAAACTGAGTTGATAATTGCATATTTAATGTATTCACTAAAAAGTGTTTTCTGAGTAATAGTGTTTCAAAATTGTCATTTATAAGGTGTCTCAGTAATGGGGACCTGATTGTTTCTGCAATATCATTAAAAGTAGAAAATCAACATTGTGAGCAAAATGTGTCACATATTAGTAACATTATAACATCCAAACTTTGGAGAGAAATTTATACCAGACTACTTTGGCCAAATAGCTAAGAAAGTATACTTAAATTCCACTAAGATAAAAATTAAAGTCTTGAAAATTCAGTTTCAATTAGTTAGCTTATAAATATAATTTCTATAGTCATTCTCTTTCTCTTACAAAAAAAGTTACTTAGGCATTTGCATATGCACAGTTTCTTATCTGGATTTTACCAATTATTTAAAGAATAACAGTGAGACTGTATGGACACTATCTTCCTGTCTTCTTTGTCCCTTTTAACTAATCTTTTCTCATTTTCTTTTTTTTGTTGTTGTTGTTGTTTGTTCCAGTATTTATTTATTGCTAAGATGTGAAACACATGCTTGAAGAAGAGAGAATGGATTTTTTGTGAAGAAAATGAGCCAAGTAAAACCAGAATGACAACTATAAATTTTGTCATTATAAAATAATGAAAAAAATCTTAGCCCAAATAAACCAGTGAATTACCTAACATGCACATGCATGTGTGTGTGCACACACAGCACACAGATCTCCTTTTTCCAGTCTGGGCCACTGGAGCACAGAGCCCTCTATCCTGCGCTGTTAGGTTGTCTTATTAAAAGCCAATTATATAAAGCCAATATATGTTATTTATAGGTGCTAGTTCAGCAAAGCCACTATGCATGGCATGTGTGTTATAAATTTCAAAAGCAATCATTTTATGTTCCTCCTAACAAGGTGGACAATTTAAAAACACATGGCAGTGTGGCCACAGCCGTCCAGCAAAAGACAAGTGGTAGAGAAGGAGGCGTGGAGAGTGCTCATGACTTTGACATAATTGATGCCTGAGGCCAGTTTCTTTGATTGACTTATCTAAATAATTGATTTCATTCTTGATATGTACACAAACCCAGAAACAATTAAAATATTCTATTAAAATAATTTTGTTCATTAACTTTAAGACTGAAAACATATCAGTGTGAAGTGCTGACTGAAATCAAAGTGTACCTCATTGTAAAAGAAAATGAAATGTTATTTTTCAATCTTATATGAACATTTGAAAAGGGACCAGTCTGAAATAGGATGGCTCTCATGTTTTAAAAAACCCTCAGGATTAGAACTGTGGTGAAAAACAGACTAGAGATAGGTTTTCTAAAACTTGATGCATTAAGCCCCAGGATCAGCATTATTTATTTAGAGCCTAATCCCAGATTCAAGGAATCAAAATGTCTGAATAAAAGAATAATTTCCTATTTTGTTCCTGAATATACTTAGGCCACTAAATTGTTAGGATTACTAATACAAAAATGAGTAAAAAGTAAGCTGCCCCATCTCTTCCAGGATCCACTGAAGTTGTAGCATTTCCTTGAATTTACTCACTTGCACTTGAAATTTTCAGGTGTTATGTCATGCCGGTGAGGATACTGAGAGTCCCAGCGCTGACAGTGAATTCCATTCCAAATCGTGTTAGACGTTCCCCTGTATCCTTCGCCTTGGCCTTGAATGCATTCAGTTGTTTCCATAGGGACTTCGGTGTCATTCAGAGCACTGTGAGCTATTGGTAGAAAGAATATAAGCTGAAAGAAAAAAAATTTAACATACCACCCACCCGTCTGTCCCTCAGAGTTCATTGCACATGGTACAGTGAAGCTTCTGCTCATTTCTAACATTTTGTGATAATTAAATGAAGAAATTCAAATCAAGAAATTACTATCTCCATTTCAATTTTGCTTTCCTTTCAGCCCTTACTTAGCTTCTGGCGAAGAGTACTTTAAAAACATTTACTTCCATATATCAGAACAATACGCTTGCTGAGTTAACAGTATTCTTGAAGTGACTACACCATCATTCCTAACATCAAGGTTGCTGAACGCGTACAATTGAACAATGCAATCATCTCTGATTTTTCTTTTATGTGATATTTCCATTCTGTGTTGATATATTGATTTTTTTTTCTTTTCAATCAAATGTTTGGGATTTAAAATTTTTGCTTGCTCCTATTTTTCTCTAGCCTAACTATAATGTTTACTGCACCCATGAAGTCTATGGAACCCTCAGAAACTACAAAATAATTTACAAAAAGAGACGCTGGACAGAAGTTTCAGCAGTTACAACCACTGGCTGCTCTTGCAGAATACCCAGGTTCAGTTCTCAGCACCCACATATTGGTTAATAATCATCCCTAACTTCAGTTCCAGGGAAATCTGACACCATCTTCTGACCTCCTTGGGTACTGCATGATACAGGTACACTTACATACATGCAGGTAATACACTCATACACATAAAATGAAATAAATAAAAAAATTTTAAAGATTTTTTTTAACTTTTAAAATTTTTTATTGATTGGGAGACAGAAGCAGGCAGATCTTTGTGAGTTCTAGGCCAGCCTGGTCAACATAGTGAGTTCCAGGACAGCTGGGGCTACAAAGAGACTGTCTCAAAAAAGTTAAAAAAAATTTATTGAGATCTTCATACATGCATATAATGTGTTTTGATCAAATCTACACCCACTCCCTCCCCTCCAACTCCTCCCATATCTCCTCATCACGTTTTTCTGACAACTTCTATTCTCTTTGGGGGGGGCTTTTGCTACTATAACAAGGTTCTCCCCTCTGAAGAGGTAACCCTAAAATCCTTTAGGGGTTAAATAAGGAAAGTGCTGCTCAGATGTAAGACTTCAAACCTTGCTGTGTAATACTGCAGTGCCCACCTGTAGCTAAGAAAAACAACCAGCTATTTTTCTAAAATGATGGCTAAATTAGTTTTCTCCCCCTGTCTAAAAGCCTTTGAGAGGGAACTGACACTGATTCTAGCCACTCCAACAGCTGTCAAAGAGCCTGAAAACAAATCCTGAGTCCATCACTCTTGAGTCCAGCCTGAGCAGACAAAAGAAAAATGAGGAAGAACCCAACAGAGGGATGCTTTTGGAACCTCTTCTCAAGAAACTTCAATGGATTCTCAAATGAACATATGAAATTTATCCTCTTCTGACTTTATTCTTGTTCTCCATATAGAACTTGTAGTGCTAACTACTCTTGCCTTTACTTCTCCTTCATATCCCCTGTTCACCAGTCAAGGACTTTCTTTTCTTCCTACAGATAAGAGTTACACACTTTGGGAGTCTTTTAGACCCATAGATCAATGGAACAACATTGAAGACCCAAATATGAGTAAATACGATTTCAGCCACCTGATATTTGACAAAAGGGCCAAGAACATTCACTGGAGGAAAGACAGCATGTTCAGCAAATGGTGCTGGCAAAACTGGATCTCCACCTGTAGAAGAATGAAACTAAGCCCCTATCTTTCACCCTGCACAAAAGTCAATTCCAAATGGATCAAAGCCTCAATATAAAGCCTGAAACTCTGAAACTGGTAGAAGAAAACATTGGGAAAAACCTACAAGAAATAGATGTAGGAAAGGGTTTTCTAAACTGAACATCAATTGCTCAGGAAACAAGGGCAAGAATTAACAAATGGACCCTCATTAAACTAAAAAGCTTCTGTACATCAAAGGAGGCAACCAGGGAAGCAATCAGAAAACCCACAAAATGGGAGAAAATCTTTACCAGCAACACATCTGACAGAGGTTTAATATCCAGAATATATAATGAATTCAAAAAAACAGAGAACCAGGACAAGAAGTAGCTCAATTAAAAGATGGGCTAAGGAACTGAACAGAGAGTTCTCAAAAGAAGAAGTAAAG